TAATCATTCGATGAATTGCGATACTTTTACATATGCTTAAGTAGAATAATAATAATGAAGAGATAAATAAGGAACAAAACATTGCGTAATTAATTAAAAGCATACATGAACGGTATATTCAATGTAAGGCGAATCACTATCACAAATAAAATACATTATTATAGGTGGGTGTGTAGAGTTAATAAAATCGAGGCTTAGCGAAATAATAATTCAATATCAATATATGTTAATGGCTCGATTTAGAAAAGTGACAAAAATGAAGAGGCTCTCTTGGGTATATATTTGTTTGCCACCATACGATAAGTATATCTAGTATGCCCCCGTAACTTTGCTTGTAAGCATGAAGACACTTTTCTGTTTTTTAGGCAAATCGCTTTAGATTTGCTTTAGAATGTTAACTGATTTTCTTTCTTTTTTTTTTTTTTTTGATAATGAAAATTGCATATTAAATTATTCATTAGTGTATGTAAATTATTTTTATTCCCTATCGCTGGTTGCATCACTTTTCTAATTAATCAAACCCGTTAAGGCAGTCAAAATAAATAATTTAATTGAGATATCAGCTAATTGCAGGCCTTGCTATTTTTAATCACAACTAATTGAAAGAATATATATATATGTATGCATATGTTTGTATAATTAAATAGAAATTCTTTTTTAAATTCTTATGCTTATTAAAAGATTAAGTGAAATTAAAATTATTATAACAATATATAAAAATGTTCATTTCGCAATAATTGAAAGAAATTTAAAAAATTCTTTGCCTAAAATTATTTCACAAAACGTTACAAATTTTTCATTTCTTCTTTGTTATTGTTTATTCACTCTTTTGCGTTTTGTTAACAATTTAGACTCATCAAACAACTAAAGAAGTAACAACTAAGAAATATATATATCCGTTCAGGATAGTATCTTTAATACCGAACATCTAAAATCGGTATGCTGCAAATGCAGTAAACAGTAAATATGGACGCCTTAGTTAGCACATCGTGACGATATCTTGCACTTTAGTGCATCCTAGAAGTACTTATATCATGTTTTATTGCAATATCGGTTATAAGGTCTGAATTAATATATATATTTTTTTTAATTTTTTCGTATTCCATGACGGATTGCAATCGTTTTCTTTACAATTTTATATGAATCTTGCAAGTTGCATATGCGCTGACTGTTAATAGTAATATCATCTTTTTTTATAGGTATAGTGGCCTACTTTGCATTATACATCATACCCATTCTGGTATTTCGCTTGTTACCATTAACTAAGAATGTATATCTCAACGTTTAACTTACTAGGTGAACGTTTCAAAAAGAAATGGCAAAAAAATACAGATACGAATAAAAATTTAAGCGGACAGATGAACAAATGCACCGACGCAATTAGCTAAAAAATCACCTAAGATCTCTAAGATACTAATCAGGAATCGATATATATATATATATATATATATATATATAAGCTTTATGATATCTCGGATGCGCATTTCGGAACGTTACATAAAGAAGAACAAATCTGATATTCCGTTACTTGTTCGATGGTGAGTGAGTAAAAACTAAAAAATAAAAAGAAGAAAGCAATGATTATGTTGTTGTTTTTGTAGTGGTTTTTGATAGAAACCATGATTTACTGGGCAGCAACATAGACATGATTGTTTGGTTAGTGTGGTAGTAGACGGTGGCGTTGGCTATGATGGCGACTAGCGACTTACGACTTGCGACTGGCTGACAACGCGGCGAGCCGCCTAAAAACTGACTATACCGTTGTACATTTTTTTGGAGAGAAGTTTATCATCACAAGCATTTTCTGGTAACAAAGCATATTTTCGCTTGGCTGCTTTCAACAACTACAAACAAGCAACGAATACCAACCAACAACTATAACAATGTAGTAAATTTCATTAGCAGCATCGGCAATCTAGTTTCTCAAGTGCTTCTTAGTGCGAAAGTACAAAGTACAAAGCGTAGAGGGAAAGTTGTTATTTAAATACTGTTACACCACTAATCTCTTCAAAAGGGAGATTTCTCACTGATTTGCTTAAAATTAAGTTATAACAAAGTTTTAAAAAAGAAAAGCACAAAATTTTCCTTGTTTTCAAAAAAAAAAAAAAAAAAACCAGGGAAATGAAATATTTCTTTTTTCCAAAGTTGCATTTGAAAATTAAAACAACAATCTTGCATTGAGTACTCATAAGAGGTTTTTTTTTTTTTTTTTTTTTGAGTTGTGTAACGTCATATGTATTAATAAAACATACTTTTAGGAAATAATTTGATGCTTATGGAGAAAAAAGGAGAAAAGAGGAGAAAATGGTTTTTAGTTGGAACCATAATTAAACATATTCTTGCAATTCAATCAACATTCTGGGCATCGTAAATGTTTATTGGTTAGGCAACCAACTAATTGACTTCAATTCGATTTGATATCGTTCCCGATATTCTCATGTGATCTTTTGCCTGCTTGCTAATGAAACTGTACCTTGACATCACTGAAGAGTGCTTCGGCTTTCTAGAATTTCAAGTCCTGCATAGACAAGATTCGCTCGATCTTATGTACAGCCGTTGCGGCTTGGCATATAATAACCTGCGACATTTTATGTGCCTTAGGTCGAATCTGATCTATGGCGACGAACATCGCCCGAAATGATTTTCGTCTTTTCATCTAGCACTAGCTTTAGCCAATTGCATAGCGGATAGTCTTCCTTAGGCAAAGGGTCTCGACTAACAACTCATTCGCAATGAGTACGGAAGAAATCGCTTTACTACTTACTGGAAGCAATGTGCAGGACAGTGGCAATCGTAAAGATACATGAAATGGTACATGGCATGGTACGTAAACTACAGGAATTAAGCAGAAGCGACCCACATTTAGTCATGGGCGTCTACAAGGGCCTTAGTTTCCTCAGGTACCATCTGGAAAAGATGGATATATCCGATACCGATTCATGCAGATTCTGTCAAGCGGCGAGGGAGACGTTCCATCATATTCTATGTAAATGTGAGGCCAATTAATAATAATAACAACAATTCGTTGGTCATGGGATCGAACCTTAAGTGCGGTAGTGTTTTCGATAAAGTCGATAGTCTTAGATACTAGTGTTTTAAGACTTTGATCTTGGACTTGATTTTACTGGCTAGAATCTTAAAAATAATAATAATAACAATACATAGCTATTGGGAGCGTGCTTTTAGGCTGTCTCAAAATAAACGGCAAGATTGCGTTTGTCGTTGCGTAAAATGCATAAGGTTTTTGACTATGGGAGTTTTCAAATAATTTGATTTTTCCATGACTACATGGTTCGTTGCGTCGTATTGCTGCATTTCAAGACAAGTGTCAAGTTGTTCGGTACTACTGGGAAGAGCAAAGGGCAGAAGCATCTTGTTAGCCATCGAAATTGACGGTCTCGTTCGATAAAGTATCTACGGCGCAAAGAAGTACATTTTGTCACTACAATAGCTCTTCTCTTTCGTTTTCTTCTTTTAAGAGTTTGCATTGCGGAATTATTGCTTACTACTACTGAAGCCACTGGTCGAAAATTCAAGTTTAGCGCTTATTATGAATTTTCCCTTGCAAGCGTCAATATCCCCAGGCTCGGTGAAATTAATTTAAACATAACGGTACTTTCTATACACACGCGTGACGTTCTCTTTTATTTAATGTTTACACAACAACGCATTACACACAAACAAATCTTATGATAAATGTACGTCAATGAAGATTGATTTCTTATTGTGATAATTGTAACGATCGTAAATTGACTTTCATATCTGAAGAGTTATTATATATTGTAATATATTCGAAAATTATTGAAGAGTTTGCATTTAAGGTACACTTTATCTGATTGAGGCTAGCAACAGCATTTGATGAGACGATGAAGGTATGTAGAGCCTTAAGGAGAGCGAAAAGAAAAAGAAAAACTGGAAGTCTTGCGCGAAAACACTGTAGACAAGTGTAAAAATTCGTTAAAGAATTAAATGAATCTGTGATAGAGTCCACCTAGAGAGGTTTATAAAGGGGTAAGAAGCACGAACGATCTTAATGGAGTTTTATTATTTGTTATAAATACGAATGGTTTGTGTCTTTGTTAATTTAATTTTGTAATTATTTAAAGTTAGCTAACATTGAGTTTAGTGTAATTAATGAGTGTTTCTGTTGATTAGTATATAAAACTACTGAATCCACTGTAAATGTATTCTTTGGGGAATAGAATGCTGTGAACACATGTTACTGTGTCTGGTTTTTTCAATTGTTTTTTTTTTTTTTTTGTTCTTTTTTTCTGTTAACTATGAATGGATGACGAAAGCTGATCTTAAATGAGTGAATGAGTTTGAATGAATTTCTATGAATGTATAGCCGTTGTTGGTTGCTTGTTTACATACATATTTCTCTCTTTTTTTCGAAAAAGTAAATAAATAAAACCGAAAACTTAGACAATATAAATGCACACACAAAATATATATATATATGTACAAGAAACAAGTAAACAACATAAATGCAAAAAAAGAAAAGAAGAAATTAATAAACTAAAAACAATATAAACACACAAACAGAATGAGAATTAAATGAAAATGTTAATAATAAATTAATTAAAAAAAAAAAAAAAAAATGCCTGAAAAAAACTTTAAATTAAAAAATTTTCCGAGCATTATAATTTTACCGGAAATGACAAAAAAAAAAAGAACAAAAACAGAAAATAAAACTAATATTAACAATAAAACTAAACGAGACATGCTGAACATCAGATAACGTCGCATGGAGACAGAATTACGCAATAAGAAATAAAAAACAAAAAAAAATCGAGTGGGTTAAAATTTTGTGTGTGTGTTATTTATTTATTTATTTTTTTTTTAATTTTATTTTTTTTTTTTGCAATATATGAAGGGGTTTCAAAAAAAAATGTTCATTTTTTGGATGCTATCTAGTTATGACTATAGGGGGATGTCTCTCACTTTTTATAAGTTAAGCATTTATTAGAAGAAAACAAAAAAAAATTCCCTACACTTACACAGCAGGTAATCTACGTCCTTTGGAATCATACAGTGGATAATAGTATTTGTTCCTAAGAAGAAATTTATTTGATTTTTTGTTGAGTTACCATAAAAATAATATGAAAATAAATATAATTAAAATAAATGAATAAATAAATAAATAAATTATGAAAATTAATTATAATTAAATAACTATATATTGTAGTAAAAAGCCACAAATTATTTTTTCAAATTTAATAATAACAAAAATATATACTGTAAGAAAAAATTGTTAGTTACTCTTTTTTTGTTTTTTAAATTTTTACATATTTTTTTTTTTTTTAATTTTTTAATATAAATTATTTATTATTATCTTTTTTTTTCTTTTTTCATTTTACGGCAGAAAATTTACATTTTTATTTTATTTAAATTTTTGTTTTTTTGATGTTAAAAAAATATTATAATAAAATTTTATTGTATTCGGTTTACTTACGGTTTCGGTAATATCGTATTATTAAGATTGTCCTTCCATTGTAAATCAGCGACTAGACTGGCGTCAGGCACATTGGGACGACAAGTAAGAATCAATGATTTCCCTACAGGCTTACGCTGCACACCCTGCATGGGGAATATTTCTAAACGTGGTTGACCGGCAGCTGAGGTTAATTCTAAAATATAAAAAGAGAAGGAATTTTATTTATTTTATTGCATGCAAATGTAGAGTGTGTAACGAAGGGAAGAGCAACTAAGAGTAACACTAGAGTTGTAGAAAGTAATAAATCAATAAACAGTGATATAGATACCTTCGCGTATGCATATACAGACTAAAGTATAAAGAAAGAGTTCGCTGGAACGCGCTTACGATCGTTGTAAAAAATCAAATTATAACAGATACGGCGACAAACATTTGAATTGCATGAAAACGAAGGCCAGAATTAAATTGGGGAGAGAAGAGATCGACTGCGTTATTGCCTTTTGTCAATTGCGGGTAATGAACGCACTTCATAAGTCAGTCAAATCCTTCTTTCGATCTCTAATTCGGTAAAATTTCATAGCCGATATACTAAACTTTGTTCTAATTTGTTTTGCTTAATATGATTATTAATCACTCAAGAGCTGTGGTTGATTGGCAAAAGGAGTAAAAGGATCGTAACTGCAACCTGGTAGATGTGTTTCTCAATCGGCAAATGGTATGCACTTACCGATTGTGCAGTGACTAGAGCTACGACAAAGTAAAACTCTACCGTACTCGTGACTTTCTTCTACACGACTATCCGGCAACTCACATCGTTACATAATAAACATAAACTTCGGTCACGGTGACCGCAGACACTTTCTTATTTCCTGATAGACGTCAATCGTTGCTATCGCTCTCGGATTTAACTTGGAAAAATATGTTAGGCTATTGGATCCGTGTCATAAACGCATCAATGCTTTCTCTATTTACTTACAATTTTATCATGAAAATTTAACAAAAGGTTTTGAAGTATTTTAAAACTTTTTCGAAACATTGTGCTTCGAAAGAATTTTTGAATTTCGTAAGTAAATTTAAAAATTTCCCTTTAGTAAATTATTGCATAAACATACGCTTAAAATAATGACAAATATTTTGATCATATTTTTAAGTAAAGTTTAATTTTTTTTTACTCTCGTGTAGAGCAGAGAATTTTTTCAAAAATAATATGCTTAAAGGCAATTAAATTTTGAATCAATCATTTGATAATAGTCACTATGATAGTAATGACGACAGCAAATATGATTGCAAAAGATTTTGTTTTAACATAAGAATGAAGGAAGAAAAAGAAAAAAGATAGAAAACCGAAAGCATTTTATTAACATTACAGGATAGCTGCAAAGTTGATATAACTTTTAATAAGTTGTCATAATTTTTGACACATATCTTATAAAGCTTAACCTTACATATACGCTATAAACACACTTACATAACTCTATATATCTCATACAAATGTATCAAATGTATCAAATGTTAAGAATCGTATACATTCGTATGCTCAACATTTTATATATATATATATATATATATATGTATATATGTATCCATATATCCGTATATCCGTATCCGTGTATCTATATAGCACTACTCGCATAAAGAAAAAAAAAAAAAATGCATAATAAACTTATCTAATATTCATATGGATTTTCGTTAGGAGGCAAAAAAGAAAAAAAAAAACATATATATATGGGGAAAAGATTGTCCATCACATAAAAAAGCAAGTAAGTAAAAAGTTATGTACGCTTCACAGTTAACATTTGATACTTATTCACTATACACCAGCGTGCAGGACTTTTGAAATATTTACTTGCTTATGAACGTGAAAATATATACATATATATATATATATTTTAAATTTTGACCAACCACTCACAGAACGTCTCCCATACATAAAAGCACTGTGATGGCCGGGAAGAGATTATAAGGTCGAAGAGGAGGGTGCAGATGGAACCGTGTTTGTGTACGTTCAACATCGATTGGTAGACTGGAGTAGTATCTGGAATAGTGCAAACGAGTGTTGCGAGTGGTGATTTCAGAAAGTGTATCTACATAGGATTTGTATCGGTTTTATTTCATTATCTCTTATATGTCATATTACTGCAATTATCGAGGAAGCGCGCACCCACTCTGCCATTGAAATTTTAAGCGATGCCCGCAAATATTTGCTTCGAATTTTACCTCTCCATTTGCTCTGTATTTGCAGCTATAATGTTTTGCTTATTTCTGGATGCTAAAGTGCATGGACGGATCAATTATCATCATTTACTCTGCAGTCATTATATAATAATGCATCTATCAATGTATACATACATAGCTATTAACTTTTCAATCTCTGTAAATGTGAGGATATCAACAGCAACTTGAGGGAACAAAGGATGGGCCGATGGACAGATAAACAGGGTGAAATCAAGTCAGAGCTCGACGCATAGATCAGACTCTTCGCATTACTTAGTGTTACAAACGATGAGACCAATCTAATATACCGTTATCTTTCGATAATGACTGTTATGATATGTATATGTAGATATATATACGTATAGAAATTGTTGAAATTTTTTAGCTCATAAATATTAAGGCTTCCCCTCGTTTTTCTTCGTTCGGTCCATTATGGAAATTTACACTTGAGCAGACATAATGATAATTGTTTAAACATTTTTTTTGTTGTTATTTTTATTTATTTATTCATTTTTTTTTTTTTTTTTTTTTTTTTTTTTTTTTTTTGTGATTGCTAGTGTGCTTGCTTAGCTACAAACTTATCCATGTTCTATGTAAATAAACTGTCAGTTTAGTTCAGAGTCGATTCTAAATATTTGTGAATATTGTGAATATAGCAAAAGTCAGCTGTCAGTTATGTCATTTACCTCCCCCATCTCCTCATTCTCCACGAACACATTGAATAGTTAAAGACTTCTTTAACAATTTTTGCTCTCAAGATATATGATTTTGTACGGAGGGAATCAGACACACCAACACAAAATGCTTGTGAATAACTTGATGATTGTAATAAAAATATTATACATAAAACAACACATATAAAAAGAAAAAAGAAAAAAACAACTTTCTCACACACATTCACATCAACATACCATGTATTGCTTTAACCATATCTATGCACAACTCTTTTTATAAACACCATTGAGGAACGAGTCGTTTCGTCTGAATAACGCAATGTATGCATATGTATATGTAAGCATCCTCTCAATGAGACGATTAAGATACAGTTGTCTGTTTGTTTATTTAGAATTTTTCAATTAACAGAAATCGAGGTCACGACAGGAATATCGGGCCGTAAACTTCTCTACTCCTTGAATTTGTCAAAGTCCCTGATTATTGTAGAGTTAAAAAAAAAAGGTTCTTCAAAATTTATATAAATATTAATAACGTTTCTTATCCTTACTGTTATTATATCTCTGACAGGATTTATTTAGTATAAAAGAAAAATAAAAAAGAATTTCTGATTAAAGAAAATGTTATTTATTTAAAAATTGTTTGCCAGAGATATAATATTCTTAGGCAAGTTAAAATCGGGAGATAACGGCTTTCATTATAACCTTAAAGATAACAATAACAATAACAATAACACATCTTATATTAATAAATGCAAAGTTAAAAAAGTAACGAGTTCGAAGTACCGAGTAAATGAGCGGAAAAGACGATGCAATTAGTCTACTTATATAAGAATGAATAATACGCGAGCAAAAAAGTTTGCCAGCCAGTGTAATTGTAGTAATATACAATTTTTAAAAGACTATGTATACGCATCGAACATGTGTACGTTTCCGAAAATGCTTATGAAAATCGTAGTTTGTGCGGCATTGCGATCACTTAATTTGCAAATAGTGCCGAGTATAACTGCAAGGAGCGTTAAAGGAAATCTTACTAAGCAAATCTGAACAGCATCCATCGTCTGAATAACATGCCACGCCCTGGAAAACTTCTAGGCATTCACGGCTTTCTTCTAACGCAGGAAGAACGAACCTATGTTCACATGGATGGAGGATACGATCAGAATCCGATCCTAAACCACGCAGCGCAAAGACGAGAAAGTAACTAATGCATCGATTCATCCGCAACAACGTTTTTTTTTTTCCATTAACTTGCTTCTTTTTTTTTTTTTAAATGACCAATCACTTAGGGGATGCCACCTGCTGTTATAACCCGGTGACGGCGCGAAAGAAGAAGAAACGATGAAAGCAATTTCCAATATGTGAAAGCCAGAAATGAGTCTCATAATCCTTTTTTGTTTTACTATATTTTTGCTAGCTTTCGAGCCTTCGATCTATTCCCTAAGACAAAGAAACAAGTTATAGTATGGAAGGCCATTTTTAGGGCATTTTAAACGCAATAAGCAAGTGGTTATTAAAGTGATTCACTTATAAAAAAAAAAAAAAAAAAAACATACAAAAATATGTCCCTTTATTCCAACTTTTATTTAAAAATTATTATTGAAAATCATTTTTTTTTTTTTATGGTTTTTATAAGCCATTCATAATTTCATTCATTTACGTACATACTTATGGCGTTTATTTAAATATTGTTTTGTTTTGTGCCGTAACGTTGTACTGTATTTAATGTCTGCAACACTTTAGGGTAATAAATAACAACAAGAGCAATAATAGCAGTAGTAGCAACAACTGCAATAAGAACAATAAACCAACATCATCATCTCCCACAACACGTACTTAAATTTCAATTAATTTTAATTATCTTTTGTTTTCATGGAGGAGACGAAAATATACATATTAAGGCAAAATATTCTCATATATCCAACAGGCATGTAAATATATTTTATATATATATATATATATATGTATGAATGAAATTAACATCTATATATTTATGTATCCGACACGATCAGTAATCGTAATTTGATTTAATATTAAAAAATTAAAGCAAAAAAAAGAAAAACAAAAAAATCGAAATAAGAACACCGACCAGGAATTTGAACTTAATATCTATTCAATACAATAAATTTCGAAGCTAGAAAGGAAAACGTCAAAAACAACTGAGGGAGAGTTGTTTTTAAAGAACTTCAGTGCATCAATCTTTTGCGTCGTGTTCCGGTAACCTTGACAAGATTTAGCCTAAAAAATGTTGCCTCCAACGTTTACTCAAAGCCCTACGCCATACATATCTTACAAATAGCAAAGTTTG